TGTGCGATGTGTTCAGCTAGTTCTGATCTTTCGGTATCCATTTTCCTGCAGAGCCTCTGATGTTCCTTGAATCATGTGCTAATTTTTCTCCCTGTTTCGCCAATATATTTCTGATTGCAGGCGCTGCATGATATACAATAAACTCCTGAACAATCCAATTTGTCTACTCTTTCATGTTGCGTTGGTAGATTTGTTAAGTGTTGATTTCTCCTTCATGACCACCTGAATATTCCATTTACTCAATATTGACCGTATTTTTTGTGTTAGTTCGCAGGAAGGTAGGCATATCTACTTTTGTGAATTTATCATCGGCCTTTATGTACTTTCATAGTCCCCGTTCCGCCATCGGCTTTTCACAGCCCGCATGTTTCTTTGTATTACTTCGCTAGGGTAGCCATTTCCGAGGAATATCCCCGTCAATTTTTTCAGCTCCTCGTCCCAGAATTCTACATCCATTAATCATAGGCTTCGAATAATCATGGTCCTCAGTATTCCAATCTTAAGCCTGTAATTGTGATGGGACCAGAAATTGAGTATACTCCCAGCATAGGAATTATTTCTGAACAATTTCTTTTTGGGCGCCCTATTAGAACGAATCACTTCAACGTCCAGGAACGGTAACCGCTCACCTTCCTCTACTTTCATCATGAATTGAATTTTTTCATCAATTTGATTTGCAAACTTCAGAAACTCTTCCAGTTTTTCTCTTCCATGTGACCAAAGTGCGAAGTCATCATCCAAGTAGCACATGAGCACTGCCGGTTGTAGCGGTGCCATCTTAAAGCTCTCTTCTATTTTGTTCAGGTATACATTGGCCAAAAGTGGTGAGAGCGGCGATCCCATGGAAAGTCCAAATATTTTTTCATAGATTTTCCCGTTGAATGTAAAATAGTTGTTCTTATTGTCAGGTTGATTAGTCTTGTTAAGGACTCCCTACCGATCCGTTATGATTCCAGGATATCATCCTCTCGGTCCAGGATTTCCAGCAGGGCCGTTAGTGCATTTTCCAAAGATATTTTTATACATGGATTCCACATCGAAATTTACCAATAAGTCCGTTTGCTCAAGTTTCATGCTTTTGATGAGAATGTATCAAGTTCACTGTCAGATGCTTGGAATCATGACAACTACTATGGCAGGCGACTTCGGACTAGGTGCATTCTACATAATCTCCCTGACCACAAGACCAATTTGCGACGAGGTAAACCCACTTCTAAAAATTTTAAAGTTTTGGCTTTTAGTCCTTCATCAACGAAGAAAGGTGAATACTGCTCTTACACAAAATGTTACGAGCTTGGATGGATCTTGATGTATGCTTTTTCCTTCGAGATCTAAAAATGAAACTATATCTGTGATTAAGTGTGACAAGTATCAAAAGTGGCAACTCTATGATAAACAATGGCCATGAAAATAAACGGAGTATTACTAAAACAGAGAAGTAAAATGTATGAATATTCTATGAATGGGATAAATA